CACTGATTCTGTTAATACTAAGTAATATCTCATGCAAATAAATGTATATGTAGTTTTCAGCTGGTTTTTATATTGGTACTATAAGCATCAATAGACCTCAAATGTTTTCCAGTATTAAGGGATTATACGCAAATTTCAAGACAATCTTTGAAGCTTCCACACTGTTTCGGTGTCATACTCTCATTAACCTTAGTTGCAGATCAATTTCACACTGAATACGTTTACATTAAATGAAGTATTGCAAATGTGTAACTTAGAAATTGATCCATAATCTCAGTAATGTCTAATGAGCATAGCTTTATGAATCCTACAGAAATTACATTCTCATATTTAGGAATCTATAGCCATCAAATATAAGCTGAACATGCTTCAACTCTAAGCAACGATGCACAGTGTTAGCAGCATAGAGAAACACTTAAAATATTGTAAGATACGCAGACCTGTTGTGTTGATGAGGATAACAATGACATATAATGCAACCTAGACATTCGATCGTGACACTGCATCTGTACTGCTTCATGTTAATGGAAAATTCAGGAAAAATTCATCACCACTACTGGTGATCAAAAACAGTGCAGCATTAAGTTTACAGTGCCTGTGAGAATGGTATAACAGACAGTAGATTGATAGTAATAGAGCTGACTAGATTCAGTTCTCATAATCGACACAATCCATGTGTATAATGATACTATACACTGAATTAATGCACTAAGTGGCACAGTAAGGAAATTTAAACGAGTGATTGCCTTCTCCACGGCACTGCACTTGCAATAATCATGACAACCACCTACGTTTGCTAGCCAAGCAGTCAGCTAAGGAGACAATGGCACAATATAAATAAAGTTGAGGTATTTTTTATACATTGAGTCCACATAACTCATATTACACTGCACCAAACAGTGCAAATATACATGAAATACACTTAGAAATAACCTCCCAACTTACGATAATTCCTGTCCAAATATACATATGGTGAGACAAATCCACATGATTACTTCTATTCCCACAGAAGGTTCTGTTAGCCTTTACAGGTGATTTCGAAGTACTGATAGAATTCTTTTGTCAAAAAGGACTGTACTTCAAACGAAAATAGGCTGAATTAATATCCTGAGACGTGAAGTCTCCATTGAATGATACCATGACGAAAGGTGCAGCATCTAAATAAAGAAGACTATTTGTGTAGATGACATTACCCTTCAACTATCCTATCTTCTTCATTTTAGCAATATTTTGGGACAGTTCGCCTGAAACACTGATCGTTGCAACCAATATGCTAGGGGGTGTCGCAGTCAGACTACATGACGCGGACACCAAAATAACAGGCCAGAAAATGGGAATTCTCATCAATCCAGATAACATATAACACAATTTCATTAAAAATTATTGACAAAACAAAATTTCCAAGTGAAATTTTAACAGCGGTACTAGAACGTGATATTTAACGTCTACCCAAGACTTGACACGTTATAGCGATGTATGCTTGTAATAACATTACCTACATAGTAAATACAATGCTAATTACAAAAACTCGTCATTATCTTTTCATTGCGTACTTATAAGAAAAAAGTTTACCTTACTTCTCATACTAAGTACTGAAGATTCCGCCTAGTACTCACTTCTACTTGCTCTCTTTATAAAATGCTTTCTACTACATTCACAAATGACTATTAGACTTTTGTCACATGGAACGGTAAAACATAAGGCGAATGCAGTTTAGAAGTTAGGGTATATTTGCATTTATTGACACCAAATGTATATACATCTTCCATTATTAGACAAGAAAATTCTCAAAGTAATTCAGAGTTGGTCGCAGTGCACTAATAGTATATTCATTACTATAATTATCCTGCATAACTGCGAAGCTTCTTTTCAATTGCCTGCGAAGTTACAGTATCTCCATGCAGGGTTTCTTCACTGAACCTTCACACGGCACACTACTTGGTAGCAACGGATCCTGCCAAAACCATCTGCGACACAGGCGAATTACTTTGTCAACTAAAAATATTAATTTAAATATTGGTAAGAGTTTGATTTACCTGTAAACTGAGGAATTTGAGTGTGACATAGCAGCATGTGCCGGCAAGGTATTCTTTGTTCCCTAAATATTCTGCAGGTACAATTAGAATTGGTATAATCCACTTGGTGCAGGTATATGCCGTCATTTATGATAGCCATATCATCAGTATACAACTCTATGTTCATCCGACGATTACGGCCATAGTCCTTGGCAATTAACTTAGCGGCATAAGGAGTGAAGTTTCCTAACGTCGGCATAACTGGTTCCGGTGCGTGGTACTTATGAATCGGACAGCTTTCGACGACGACTTCAACAATACGACGCTTCTCTGTGCGTACACACCATTTATACGTCTTGTACATACGTACGCGTAGGGGATCTCTTCTGTGGAGATATCGTTTTATGTGACTGTGAAAGCTTTCAACTCTATTGTTGGTACTATTAAACAGCAACAGAGTATCCGGCATATATGCCACAGCCCACGTCTCCTTCTTAGGCACCCAGTAATGCCTGACATAATTCCACACCCTCCGATCAACCGTCCTAATGACACTAAGGTTTTGATGACATCTAAATGGTTAGAAAACAATCCATTTACCTTTCAGGTGACACAGCTTTAACAAGACGATATAAAAACCTGCGTACAAAAGGGTTTCGAGCCTAAATGCATCAAGTATTAATTAAATTCACCTCGCCTTCCTGCTGAAAGCCCGGTATATACGAAATGCACAGATGACTATTTTCGCCTGAATTTTACTATTACGCACGGCGGATATCTCACAGTTGGCCGAATCCATTACGAAAGTTTCTGTAATGGACGTATCCTGCGTTATTCTTTGGAACAGTTCCAATATCCAAGCTACATCACATGACCTCTCTCGTCTCGTCCATGCCAAAAACAGGCCTCCCATGACCCGTATTGTCTGTTACTACCAACTGAAACAGAGAATATCTGATCAAGATTTGTCAACCGTTTCACGTACAACCTACCCATCCTTATTGGTATTGTATGTTGAGTCAATACACACCACCTCCCCTTATTTCCGATATAACTGCACCTGTGATTCCAGGGCGAAGCAAATTCTGCTGGTTATCCCTGTATTTGAATCCACGTATTCAACCACCTGACCGCTTTGCCTTATTATGCGCATAACATCTGATCTCAAAGTCATGGCTTCCAAAATAACTTTAATCTACATCACTTACCTGGTCTCACATCCTTACGTAAATTATACACATCTGTGCTCGTCAAAATTTTATTAAAATTCTCTTCAGCATATTCCAAAACATCACCAACCTCAGATGTGGTCTTCACAACTGGTGCAATATTCTCCTTTTCATCCCCGGACAGGCGTCTAAAATATGGATCACCTATCATTAGACTTTGTTTACATCTGTGATTGTGAACTGTTTTCGCGGAACAAATGATAAACTCGTCCTCCTTATAGCGTATACGAAAGCCAGATTGGCAACCGATGCATTTTGCACTGCAGAAATAAGTAATAGAATTCTTACGGTTTGACGCGTAAACCTGAACCTCTAGTTTTTCGCTTCATGCCATATGTACAACGAAAGACTACTAATTTGTACTTCAAATCCTGAGATTCATGGTCCTGTATGCACTTTTTGATTACATAATGTGTATGAGTTGCCTAGGAATACTCTGTCATACATGCATACATATATTAATGATTCCAGCTGACTTAGAGCATCTTCTACTTGAACCCAACTGGTATACCGGTGACTAAACATAATCCCGTCAAAAGGTTTTTTGATATCCGCTGATATTATTATTATTATTTATATTTATTCCTGTTTATGCAGGAACATACCAATTGTACAGGCATGGATAAGTTATTATATAAATTACAGTTTGTTTGTTCTTTTTAACATTAGAGTCAGTCAGAACAGTCTGCAAAATAGTCTGTCTGTTTAACACATAAAGAGATATAGAAATATTGTCTTCGCATTAACGAAAAACCCAGACTTCAGATGAATGTAATACAAATATCTGGGAAAAATAAAGCTTGAAGTCAATTCTCCTATATAACTTTGTTGTGAACAGCATCCGTGAGATAAAGTTTATTGATGTATTATTTTGAGTCAATAATGTATTTATTCCATTTTTGTCAGCAGTCTTATCGTAGTTTTATAATAGGAAAGAAATTTGATCTTTGATACGAAAATTAGATAATTTCATGTTAGATTGTTTTACTGCATCAAATGGGGCCGAGGTCGATTCTAGAAATATCCATTTGCGCCATTTGCGTCAGCATGGCAGACTGTACATGTAAGTTGAGTAATTCATTGAAAACTGCTTGAGAACCAGTTGTTTCTTTATATCAGATCAAGAATACTCCTTGTACAGAATGTTAGCCAGCGTTTTCAAGTGGTTGAATCGGATCGTTCATGGAATTTGAGTTTGAATTTACATAAATGGTCATTTCAGTTTAGATGTTGGGTTGTACGACCTCGACCAGGAGGTATATAGAAGATTACGCTCAGCAGGGAGATAAAGTATGTAAAAATGAACAGGACATTAATATTTTATGTATATATAAATGTTTATAAATGTATATCATTGTATAGTAAACACTACCTATAATCTAGTTGTTCTTTCATGTATTTTTGCGAAGTCTTAGAGTTTATTTAGTGTCATAATATTTAGTAATGAGCCTAGGCGTTATAGTGTTCTAATAGCTCATGCGTTTTGGAAATAAGTGGTGCGGTGTGATTGGCATAGTCATTAGGATGAAGCAGTTCATATAGCAAGCGTTTGAAGGTTATGATAGAGTGACAGGTCCTTATTTCTAGGGGTAAACTCTTCCAGATCTTAGAGTACATGACTATGAAGAAGTTTGCACGGAGTGATGTCTTGCAGTTTTTCCTAGATACTGTGCACGTTTGGTTACGAAGGTTGTAGGAGCCTTCCGGTGAGAAGTGTATCTCCTTACTGTCTGAGAATGATATTTTTAGACATCAGATGCTTAACAATGGTGTTCCTGAAGTCGCACTAAAAAACAGTGTGTTTGTTTCAAACCCATTGGCTCGTCATGCAATCGCTTTTTTTGCAACTACGGAATGGATTTATGTCCAGCAAGTTTCTTCTGCTTATCGTGGGAGTTTTCATATGCTTCCGTTTCTGAGGTTAGTCTTTGTCTCACATTTTACTCATAAAGTAATATTTCTTTGTCATTAACTATGCTGTTTATTAATTTGAATGATTTCCTGTTTCCACATGATAGTTTTACAGTTAGACTGCTAATCGTGTGTGTTAATAAAGCTGTGATTTTATTGGTTCCCTTTGTCGAGTTTAACTTTCATGATGAAAACATTCAGCTTTTTCAATGAGACTTTATTGTCTCGTTGAACTGCTGGAGTTGTGTATTACATAATTTTCCGACGTGGTGAGCCATTTATTATAATTTTAAACTGTTGGACGTTCAATTCACCCTAAACTTTGTACTTATTTATCAGGTCTGATAGCTTTTGACCCTGATATGGATTGGGTGGAAAATATTTTGATGGTTCATCAACTTCATTTTGGTAATGCAGGAATGTGTTGTTTGAGGATCCAAATGTATTTCACTAGTCCATATTCAATGTGGCTCATGCCATATTCCACCCGATTGCTTTTATTTACTAGCCTGACTACGTGTGCTGTGTGTTTCTATTGGCATTATGACTGACTGACTGGTTTCAACATAGAACTTTACACAGAAGTGCAGCAGTTTGAGTTGCCACATTTCCTGCTTGTAGCACACAAAAGAAGATACAAGAGAAAAATATATGCAAAAGCAAAAGTGTGAGAAAGAAAGAATAGTAACCTGGAGAAACAATAGAGTTTTTTTGCTATGACAAATCACTCAAAGAGTGATGAATGCATCTTCGCCATCATCTAGAATCAGGATTTTGATCCATATCACCAATTGTCTGCAGCCAGTCTTCATTTCCCTACGTGGCTGGCTGGCTTAAACTAACTATTATGGATTTCGTTAACTGATTCCATGTATTGGTTTGACCACCACTAGCTAACTCTTTTCCAACTTGATCCATCCTATGTCAGTCAGCTAATATTGCGTGTCGAGGAAGGCGATGGATATGCAGACGTAATATATGTCCTAGCCATCTCAGTCGATGCAGCTGCTTCACAACCTCGTCGATTGATTTTCCCTCCTAACCTAGCACTTGACAGAAGCCTAACCTTAGTATTGCTCACCTTATTGCATCTAACACGGGAGATGGGATGGAGGCACTTATGGTCAAAGACAGTTAGCTGGCCTTTTCGTGTCTCATTTTCAATAGGTATATCTCACTGACAGCGAGAAAAGATGACGGAGCGAACTGGTGAGCAGTACATACGTCCTTTGATCGATAACCAAGCAGATATCACGTCTATGCATGTTGGAAAATGCCATATGAGTCTTTTCTATCCGTGCTTAGATTTCGTCAGCGGTCATCCCGTTGGTGCTGGTGAAACTTCCCAAATAAATGAAGTAGTTAACACTCTACCACTTCACTCCTGCCTGTCTTTAAGTCAACTGGGAGTCGATGTAGTCCAATCCCGTAGCAACATCTTACATTGGATAGAAGCAAACCACATCCAAAGACTTTTGCTCAAAATGTTCAGAAAACTGCAATTTGTCAGCATTTTCAGCTAGGAGACCTATATCTTATGCGTATTCTAAGTCAAGAAGTCAGTCCCTAAGCAGCTGAAGTCAGTTAGGGTTGAGTCTATCAGTACCTCTATGCTGAAATTAAACAAAAATTAGGACAGTGGGCATCCCTAGGGGACACCACTGGTTGATGATGTTATGATATACATTTAATTACTTCCTCTTACCGAATTTCTGCTTTGAACTAAAATAAATATTTCATTCTTTTCTGAGATGAAGTCCAAATATTTTCCTGTTTTAAAATTTTAGTTTCATAATAATCTGTTTTGTGAAAAGGAATTTGTCCTATTGAATAAAAAAACTATGTATGAATGTTAAGATTATCGTTACGGATTCATTGACGATCAGGAGACATTAAATACTGTTCTCTGGAATTTCATATCATCTTTGTGACAACTGTATTTTGTGTGATTCGCATACTAGATTCTCATGTAAGCATGAAATGCTATTGATTTTTGAACAGAAAGTACTTGAGTAAGTCATGAACTGTAATCAACTTTAAATCGAACTGTTGAGAAATAAACTACGGTGTTTAAAATCTTGGTTGACGATATTACTCTTCAACTGTTATTTCAATTATCATTTCGAAATAGTATGATGTCACGTAGCTTACTTACATATATTGAAAGCTACTCATTGTAGTATGTTTGACTGATCGTGCATGCCAAGGTTATTTAGTATTACAATTAAATTCCTTTTAGTTGATGGCCAGAGACTTTTTCACGGTGTGTGTGTGTGTGTGCTAGCTCTAAGTTCCATGGTGAAAAGGTTTCATTTATCTGTACCAGTATGGTAGTCCAATGCTTTCAATAGTTTTAGTGGTCAATTTTATTAAGTTCTAGTTTACCATTTCTATTTTTTATAGTGATATCAATGAGTTAGGTGGAACTTTGTCTCAATACTGGTTTTCAATTGATCAGTCAATTGCTGCCAATAAAGATAGTCCTAATCATATCGCAGACTCTGTTCATTTGCCAAATTCAGCTGGATCAAAATCACGAGCATCTAAGGAATTACAAGTCCGTAGTCGCCGGTCAACTACTACAGGTGGTGGTTTTGTAAAAAGTAATCAAACCATTGGTGAAGCTTCCGCCACTGGACTAATGAACCGATTTACAGGCAGTTATCAATCTAAAGATCAAGTGAAATATGAAAAAGTCAGCTGTGATAGTGTATTATCCAGACGAGGCAGCAAAACAAAGGATCAAACACAGTCTGATGACGAAGCACTTGTGGATAACAACAATCGTAACAGTGAAAACATATCAAGTATGAGTTGTGATGGCCGACTGTCTGAAAGTGGAAAATCATCAGTAAGTGTTGGCTCTTTTTTTCTCGCCTACACATTTCATATCATTTTTTTATTCCTTCATGTTCCTAGTGGAACACAGAGGCTTGAAGTTTCTGTAGCAGTGTAGTAGTGATTTGTTTCAGCGTTGAAGATAAAGGGAGTTCTATTTTAGATTGTAAACCGAGAAGTGGACTTGTAGGCTTAAGGTAGTTAGCTGCAAACGTCTCATTAAACAGTTCACACATGTCTGCATGTTTGCTGTATAGTTTGCCCTTGTTTATAAGGAGAGAAATTTTATGGCTTTGGCGATTCATTCGTTTCTTTAGTATTTCTGTGAGAGCACCTACTCTGGTGGTGCTGGCTAGTGCGGTGCATTCTTCATTTCTCATACGCAAGTTATGAGCTTGCGAGATGGAGCTAAGAGTACTAAGTATTGACCCTAGTGTACTAAAGTCGTGTCGCCTGAAGTAACTTGTTGACAGTCTTTTCAGTTTCCTACGATCCTTTGGCTTTATGAATGACTTTCTATGTGGGGAAGACTTTAATGTTTGAAGTGGGATGACAGCATCTAAGCATGTGTTGGAGTTATAGTAAAAGATGTCTAGAGCTTTCGAGAGGCTATCAGTATAGAAGTACTCACTCCATTCTGAGGATCTTAGCATTGATTTTACTAGAGTCCAGTCTGCCTTACTGTAGTTCCTGTAAGTTATTTGTTGTGAAGTAGGGGTATGGGTTGCATTGCTACTTGACGGAAGTGGCAGTGCACACAGCACTGTTTTGTGGTCACTCCCTGAAAACTCAGGACCGACTAGGGTAGAAAGGGGACTTATATTGTGGCAGAAGATTAAGTCTAGTACGTTATTACCTCTTGTTGGGGTTGTGACAGTCTGCTTCCAGCCAAGTATATCCAGTGTGCCTAAGAACTTATCAAGTTTAGTTGGACCTGTGGGTATTTCCCAGTTGATTTCTGGTAAGTTAAAGTCTCCACATAGGATCTTATGATCGTCGTATAGGGAGGACAATTGTTCTAGAGTATTAATAAGTTGGGTCTCGTAATTACTAAAGGTGCCAGGTGCTCTGTAGGTGCATCCGATTAATACTATTGTGTTATTTAAGTGTAAGTTAACCCATAAAGTCTCAGGCATGTTAAGTGTACTGCTTTCTAGCTGTGATACAGTAAGTGCATTCAGAAAGTACATAAGACAACCCCCTCCCTTACCACCTTCCCTGTCACACCGAAAGTGTGTATAGTTATCTAAGCTTATCTCTTCATCCAGTATGTTCGAGTTACACCAGGATTCAGTGATGACAATTATAGGGGGTTTGTATATTACTGTGAGTGCTCTGAGCATCGGTAGTTTATTTAGAACGGATCTAGCATTTATGAGGATTAGGTAAAGATGAGATTTGAAATAACATTTGAAGTACTTAAGTTCGTTAATCAGCCCCGAATGTGGTTCAGCACCCAGTAGTACTGTTTGACATGACGACCCTATGTTGAGAGGAGTTTCAGCATCATGTTCACCTATGTCTATCGAGTTGGTGTGTGCTGTTTTCGGTGAAGAATTGAGCGTTGGAGTACTGGATGTGCTATAGGCTAAGGCATTTTTATTTTTAGTTAAGCTAGAAACGGGGGTAGGAATCTTAATTTGACCTAAACTTGTGCATGTACCAAGTGTGCTTAGTGGATGCGGGCGAACTTAACTAGACTGTTCCTACATTCATGCAAAGGGGGAGCCAGCACTAGCGGTTTAGGAGTGTTAGCATCCCTACCAGCTGTTTTTTCAACGCTGACAGGGACGCAGGGGATAAAAAATGATTGGGACCTTGTGAAGACCATGGTCTATTATTCCACCTATTGTTAAGTACTAGTGGTGTCCTTGTAAGGGTTTCGAATGTACTGCTTTGTGGGTTAGTTCCCAGCAGACTTGTACCGTATATCCGATCAAAATTTATTAGCGTGCCATACTGTGAATGCCCTGAGTTGTTGGTGGTCGAGTTCTGACTTGTACTCTTGAGGGTGGTATTGTTTTGGCGTTGGTTATCAGTGTGGGCCATGGTGCTATTTCGCACGTTGTGGGTGCCAATACTATTGACCGTGGGGAATGTGGGCTTACTTATACTGCCATTGTTGCTGTTGGCATGATTTGGGGTCATATTCTTCTCTTTTTTACCAATGGACTTATGGCTAGGAGAGGAAAGGGTCAACTTTTGGGGGATTTTGACATTTTTTCTTGGATTATTTAGTGACATGTCTAAATCTACGGTGGTAGGTGGTATAGTTTTATTGGCTATTTGGTTACAATTTAGTGGCCTTTCGGTTGGTGTCGCTCTCTGAGAAGATAATTCTGTGTGGTTAGAGAGGGGTGGTGCGGTGGATTCTACGGTGTCTCCCAAAGGGTTGGGTATAATTGCTGCTTGCAATGTCCTATAGTTTATTCCACAATTAGACTCAGTGTGATAATTATATACGCGCCTTTCTATGACGGTCTTGTCCACCGCAACCTTTATTAGTTTGTAATTTCTGAGTTGCGATAGGGTGTGTTGGGAGTGGGTAAATTTTCTGGCCTCAGCCGGTGTTTCGAACTGAAAACGAATAGGACAACACTTGTCATGTTGACTCTTCTTCAGCCTGTAGCACTTAGTCTTGGAGTTGGGCATTTTCGCCTCACTAAGTAGGATGCGCTGTACCTTTTTTAGTGCCTCATTATCCGGAACGTTGTAGACAATAGCATTTAATTTAGCATCTAGTCGTTTTGTTACTTCTGTAGTAACAAAGTTAATTAGGTTATCCACCTTAGATATCGATTCATTGTCAAGTTTGTTAAGGTCTACAGTTTTCATGAGAATAGTTAAAGGTGTCAGTTCACAGACCTGCAGTCTGATATCACTGATCTGACCTGATAAATTGGAGATTTTGGTATTGGTATCGGAAATTCCAGGATCTACTGACTTATTGTTTTTTAAGTCCCTTAACTCGGCCTTAAGTTCTCCTATAGACAACTTTAGAAGTTCTATTTCTGAAGATAGTACTGAAACAGAGCTTGAAGGCTGGAGCTTTTCGATAAGAACATAAGGTGTAGGGAGGGTTTCTGTATGAGCAGAGGGTACTGAATTTTTGGGAGTAGTGCTAATACTAGCTGTCAGTATAGTTTTATCCTCAGTTTCAGCTCGACGCTTACGACATACAAGTGAGTATTGTGGCTCACTATAACCATTTGTAGGAAGTATGTTGCTTGATGTAGCAATCAACGACTTAAAATTAGTCATCAGTTTTACAGGGGATTGAGTTCGCTGCTTTTTACTTTGGTTAACCATAACTATTTGATATGAGAGTTAGTAGTTATAGGTATGGAAGTAGTAGGGTACTTGTGCAAGGATTACAACAAGATAAATTTTATGTAACGAATCACGCAACAACGAATTTATCATCAAGCTGTACAATCGTATATATATCTATATATGATTTTTAAAAAGTTATATCCGGTGAGGGAATTGAATCATAGGTCTCAGTGAATGCATAAAATAATAGTAATAATAAAAGTAGCAGTATGAAATGCAATTAAAACTAAAATGTTTGTGATTATAATCGTAGTTAAATGTCAAGTGGCAAAGCAAAATTAATGTCACATATATAGAATAATTCATAGGATGGATAGAACTTGGTAGGTGAAGAGTGTGCAATTATAAGATTAGCAGACAAATTGAATAAAATAAAAACGTTACGTAATATTGTGTGAAATTTAATAGCATAGAATTTAATGTTGTAAAAAAGAAGAATTGATTTAGAATGACAAGTGAAATAATACCGGGAACAGTTAAAAGTGAGAGTAGTAATAGTAACAATTGACGTAATAAGTAAGGGTATACTAATTGAATGGACAAAAATGAAAAATTGGTAGAGCTAAAATATGATTGGGGATTACCATACTTTAGCATAGACGAGGGATTAAGACCATGAAAGTTGGAGGGGTTGAACGAACTTTTTCTGTACACAGAGATCTGGCTTTTCTGTTTCGATAGACAAAGCTTCACTTCAGCAATACAGATATAAGTATAAAACTTGGGCACTGTGGTAGAGTATAACTACTCCATTATGGATAAGATTTTATTCTGATAAACTGTCACTCACAGTGTTACACAGTAATATATAAAATGATGACGTTTCGAGCACAAACAAACAGAAGGTGTAGCAATGGGATCCGTAATATCCCCGATCGTAGCAGACATATTTATGGATAGCTGGGAAAATATGGCACTTAATACGTTTAATCCTACTCCAAAAATATGGTGCAGATATGTGGATGACACTTTACAAATGTTAAAAACAGACCATATCTCTCTCTAGCTTCTTGACACATATAAACTCACTAGTAGAAGAAATCAAATGCACATTTGAAACCGAAAATGAACAAGGATAATTAGTTAGGTTACATTGTAAAATAAAGTGAATAGAAGAAGGTAAACTACACACTAGCGTTTATAAAAAACCAACGCATTCTAATAGATATTTAGACTTTAATTCATCTCATCCGTTAACTGTTAAGGCAAGCTTGGTTAAGTGTTTAACAAACCGAGCAGTAGCACTAAGTAGCACAAGAAAAGATGATGAAATAAAACAGACAGAAGAGGTGTTGGTGTTAAATAACTATCCCATAAAATTAAATAGGAAGATCGAAAAAAGCCAAAAGCAAAATAAAAATAATTGTGAAACTAGTAATGATAACACAAATAAGAGAGAATAAAAGTCATCTACACTTCTACCATATAAGAAGGGGACATCTGAGACTCTACGTAGGTTTCTTAGTAGAGCAGGAATTAGGGTGGTGGCATTTAAACCTACAAACTCACTCGGAGACAAGTTCTGTAAGCTAAAGGACCCTGTGCGTTGACCCAAATGAACAAAATAATATAATTTACAAAATACCCTGCAATGACTGTGAGGTCAACCACATAGTCAAACTAGTAGATCTGGGGTAGTCAGATTGTCGGAACATAAGGATTTAGCTAAGGCAAGAATGGTTGACCCCACCCAAGAAGATAAGTAATTTAGAAAAAAGTTCTGCAATTGCACTACATGTAATAACACACAATAGCATGGTGGGAGAGGGTTAAGATTCTAAGAAGTAATCTATGTAGGTGGAGAGATAGAGAGAGGTTGATTACTGAATCCTGGCTGGTTCATCCAGTCTACACAGAACACTTGCAATAGGGATGACTCATCACTCATACCGGAAATATGGAAAATACCACTACTACCAATCATCAAATCAAGCGATGAAAAATAATGCAATTATATAAACGAAGTTATGTGAGTAGTGCCTTGATATGATTATGCGTAGGGATAAGTTGTGCTCGAAACCTGGTCATCAGTTAATATTACTGTGTAACAACACTGTGCGACTTATCGAAATAAAATCTTATCCACAATGAATTCCACCGTAAGCCAATTTACGCACGATATAGCGCGACTGGCACTAACTAATGTCATAATCATCCATACAGCAGACCTGCTGTATGCCAATGGTCACGACTTCCTCTACTAGAACCACCCTACCTGAATAGGGCCAGTCAGTCACTAGTGAGCATCAGATTGATGATATTCAAGTGTGTTGGTGGTTTGCAGTGACTTGATTGGTTTACAGATTCTCTAACCGATGTCAGCTAATGATAAAATCCTGCTGCAGCCAATCAAATCCCTGCAAACCACCAACACACTTGGATAACAACAAGCTCCAGTAAATTTGTAAGCAAAGGAAGAAAAAAAACCACTGTTCATTCATTATTTCTTTATTTATTCACTACGCAGTAAACTGAAGTAGATGTAAAGGGGAGTGATGAGTAGTGTGTGTGTGTGTGTGTGTGTGTGCGTGTTTGTTACTTCCCGGTGGCCCATACTATGGAAGGTGATTTATTCTACGGGTATTTGAAACAGAAAGAGCCTTAGTGTATTGCATAACCTAAGAACACGTGTGACAGCTGCATGAGAACCGCCTGATTTGCTTTTTTTTGGAATCGTGTCCATGTTAAGAACTTACCCCATTGCCTACGGACCGTCGGAGGATTTAATAATCGGGATGTACAATTTTCACGGTCCAGCTTTCGTAGTCCCCCCCTCTCTCTCTCTCCCTTTCTAGAATGGTGCGAAGGGGCAGAAAAAGGGGGGCGGAATGCTTGTCATCTATCTCTCTTATCGGTGTGACACTCCTATTCCAGGGCAGTAGGATTTCGTAAACACAAGGGCATCAAACATATTGGGTAAACAACCGATTCTAGTGAAGCTGCCTGCTATCCAAACGACCCTAACAGCACGGAAATATGCCGTGTGCTACGGATAGGAAGACTGATAGGAAGACGTCAAAGATTGAATTCGACATTTTAATTCACACTAATGCTGGCTGCAGGAGTAGAAGTGTTTATTCCTCAAATCTAAGTGTGTCTAGCTTACGATGTCGACAAGAAATAATCCCGTTGGACAACCTTTTTCAAACCTCAAAAGAAAAATTTCCAACCAATCAGAAGGATTTATATTCCGTTGACGGAAACCGGATTGTAATGTGACTAAAAATGTTTATGAGTAAACAATATTATATGACATCTAATCCACAGTGAAGACGAAACAATTTTACCGGTCAAGTTCGTACTGTGGTAATATTTGTGTACTTGGATGATGTGTGTGTTGTCGTGACATAGCAGAACACCAAGTCTTACATTTCGATCCAAGTATAACCGACGAGAATCATATCATAAGGACAGTGCAACAGCACTCAAACATCTGAGATTTTTTGGGAATTCACTATCTTATTTCAAAGGTATATTTGTTTACCCCATCATTTTTATAATTTTGCTTCATACTACTTATTCTTAGTAAGTAGTATTATTGTCTTTACGAATTCTTATGGATTTTATCGAAAACAAAATATTGTTAAATTTGTGCTTATTTTGATATCTTCAATATCTAACTGTATTGTCTGTTAGATACCCATTCGACTGCCTTGTCGAGCAGCTCCTAATACTTCAAGACGCTGACAACATAGAGCAGAGTATTCTGAACACCTTGAGCTCCGATATGCGAATTTTTAGCAAGCGATTCGCTCCCGCCAAATGTAAGATTATGTTACAGGATTGGACTACACTGACTTATTGCTCAGAAATAGGAAGTGACGGAGTAGAGCACGTTCACCGCTTCATTCAGTTGAAAAGTTGCATCAGACCAGCCAACGACAGTGGGTTGATCCGGTCGCTGGCGAAATCTCACCACGGATACAGAAGACTCGTTTCGCATATTCCAGTTTACGCCATCTCTGGCTTAGTTGACGTGATATCCGGCTGGCTATCGACCAAATGACGTGTGTACTGATCAGCAGTCCGTTCCGTCCTCCTTTATGGCTAGCTGTGACACCTGGCCATTGGGAGTGGAATGCATGAAAAGCCAGGATAACTGTCTTTGATCATAGGTGCCTGCGTTCTATCTCTCGTGTGAAACGGTACAACAATGTGAGCAGTATTGAGTTAAGGCTTCGGTCGAGTGCTAGGTAGTTGGGAGGGGAAGTCAATCGACAATGAGGCTGTGAAGCTACATCGACTGAGGTGGATGGTTAGGACACGCGTTACGCAAGCCTAGCCATCACCTTCCTCGACAACCGAAAGTGTTAGCTGACACAAGATACATCTGAAAGGAAAAGAGTTAGCTGGCCAGTCGTGGTGGTGATGGTGGTGGTAGAACCAAAACATGACTTCATCATCAGTCAATGAAATCCACAACAGTTAGTTTAAGCCAGCCAACCGGTCACGTAGGAAGGTGTAGACTTCCTGGTTGGTGTCCTCGGGACGGTAAACACCAATGACTGTAGACAATTATTGGTGATACGACTAGCTCAAAGTCGTTCTAGGTGATGGCTGGCGCTGGCGTAGATGCATCCACTCATTGTGAATTATAATTTCCAATAAAACTATATTGTTCTTCGATATTACTAGTCTTTTTGCCTTATATCTCTGTTTACTGCCTATATTTTGTAGTTCTTTTGACTTTCTTGTCTTGCTTTGTGTGCTACATGGAGTGGAGTATGGTGACTTGAACTGGTGCATATCGGTGCAAAGTTCTATGTTGAAACCAGTCAGTCATGTTGAGTAGCCCATATGACATTTGTTCCCAAATATAACTTCAATCGAATGGTTCAGTCTATGTATCTCCCAATTTCATGACATTCAGTAAATCAAACCTTGATATTCAACTGGGTGAGATGGAACAGAAAGCATTCGATTTCTCGATTTGGCGTTTATACACCAACATCTTAAAAATGCTGTTACACTATGATAACAACAGAAGAAATTAGACAGTCTAGATTCTTGTATTAACGCATTAAAAATTTATTGATTAATTGCCAACCATAGTCATACTTTTGTCTTTCTCAAGT